TATGTGTCTACACTCATCATACAAAACTGTCTGTTAAGATTCTTCCCAATGCCCCTATAGTAGAGTATGTTGCCCTGCTGCAAGCCTTGGAGTCTGCTCTAACCGACGTCCCCAATACGATGCTCTCCACTTATGAGGGTAACTCCTGATCCAAGTGAAGCTTTGAATCTCCTTATTGAGTTACGCAAATAGGTACGGTCATGCACACTTCACCCCCTTTATCCCACGGCAAAATACATCTCGATCCACATTAGATTTGTACTATTGAGGCAACTTTGGTTGACTCGTCCTGGAAGACTGCTATCATGGTCTTTAAATAATGTGAATTCACTTGTCAGCAGACAATGAATCTAGTGCTCAAGAGTTCTTACAATAGTATAAGACTCCTTGTCATACGTTGATTTTTTTCTCATGGAATCATTCAGCTTCTCACTGAAAAAGGCAATAAGGTGACCTTCAGGGCTCAACACTACTCATATCCCCACACTGGATGCATCACATTCTACCGAGAACAGCTAGTTCAAGTCTAGTAATGCCAAGACTGATGGTTGGGTCACATTCAAATTGAGTGCATTGAAACTATTCTGAGCTGCCTCTATCCACTAGACTTCATCTCTCTTCAAAAGATATGTGAGAGAATCGCTGATAGTAATGAAGCTATGGATGAATCACCTGTAAAATGATGCTAGTTCCAGAAACCGCCTCAGCTTGGTGAACGACCTATCCAAATCACAATGGTCTCTCGATCCTTGTAGGATACATCTGAATGCCAACACTAAACACTATATAACCGAAAAAACATACCCGGTATGTCATGACATGGCAGTTCTTTGGATGAGCATATAATTTCTCCGCTTGCAATACCTCGAACATCACCTTCTGGTGTTATAAGTGTTCCTCCTCAGATCAGTTGTACATAAAAATGTCGTCAAAGTAGACCACCATAAATTTTCCAATGTAGGCCCGAAATACCTGATTCATCAAACTTATAAAAGTATTGGGCGCATTTTACAAGCCAAAGGGCATAACTATCCATTTGTAAACCTTCATGTCTTGAAAGTGGTCTTCCACTCTTCTTCTAGCCTCATCCAGAACTGGTGATACCTGGTGGTGACTCCATGTAACTATTCCAAGAGGTCATTTAGGCAAGGTATGTGAAACTGATACTTGATGGTAATCTTATTGATGACCCTGTTGTCAATACACATCTGTCACAAATCATCCTTCTTGAGTAGCATCAAGGTGAGGACCAGACATGGACTGGTACTCTCTCTAACCAACCCTTTCGCAATGAAATCCTATACTTGTCGTTGCAAATCTTATAAACTGCGGGATACAATCTATAGGCAGACCTATTTGGCAATAATGATCCTGGGATAAGATCTATGATGTGTTGAATGTCCCTCAATGATGATAATCTTTCAAGAAGACTATCAGCCATCATATCCTGGAGGTCAAGTAGTTGTGGATGTAACGTTGCCGGTATTTCACTCTCCTCTGTTCCCCTTTAGTAGGGCCAATGCTAATGTCACTAGCGCATCCCAAACTGACTGCATGAAAGTGACCCCTGATACTAACACCTCCTTTATGTCGCCTCTCGCATCGTTAACAGATAACAACATGATGCATTTCCCATTTTGTTTATAAGAGTAAGTATTCTTAAAGCCATTGTGTCAAGTTTTGTAGTCAAACTATCAAGGCATCCCTAATAGAATATAGCATGCATTCATCGGAACGACATCACACCACACTTGGTACTATAAATGATCCCCAATTAAAATTTCAACCAAGCACTAATGATCCACATTTATCTTGTTTCCTTCTTCAACCAGGTATGAAAATATGACTGTGGATATTTCTACGTAGTCAATCTCAATTTCTTCACCATCAATGTGGTCAACACATTTTCACAACTCCCCCTATCGATAATCAAACTACAAACCTTGTCATTTATCGTTCACTTGATGCGAATGATACTGTGTCTCAACCATGATTGATCTCACTCCGGCTCTAACCACAGAACACTTCATATGACTAACAATGCTCCCTCAACGCCTTGAAGATACAATTTTTCCTCTAGACTATCCTATGGTTCCTCGTCCTCCACCTCATCGACGACGTCCTGATCAATGAATGTGACCATTCAGCTCAGGAGACATCTAGAGGCTATGTGCCCAAAGTTGTGGCACCTAAAACACCTCCTTAATGATACTGTATTGGAAAAGCTACCCTTTTCTGATTCTTTCCACTCGAATTTGTCTTGTCACTCCTCTGTTTTTTCTTACCAACCCCTCTCAAGGTATCTTTGTCAGTCGCGACAGCTGCAGGTGACTATCGGAATGAAGATTGTTGCTTACTCTATTTTTATTGTCTTTCCACCCCAAAGCAAAAGTTAGAACATATCACATCAATCGGTATGCTGTAGCTGCACAATATTGCTAATAACGAGCTTCATGTCCCCCACGTACCAGACTATGGCGCGTTCCTCTGGATCAACCAACTCACACTTCATCTGCAACAGGTCAAACTATCCAGTGAACAACACAAAATGGACTCTCCGTTGAAGGTGTCAGAGTCTCAAAAACATATCATGGCGGTAATGAAGTGGAAGTTATTTCCTCTGCATTACTTCATGTTTTCACACAAGGTAAGCTTATCACTGCATTTTCTTTTCCTCTGTCTCTGTAAATTTTGCCACCACAAAGAGGCGCACTTTTCAACTAGATGACTTCTAATTTCACCTACTTTTCTTCTGACACCTCCTTATAATCAAATATTTACTCAACAAATTGCAACTAGTTGATTAATCTAAATCCATACCTGCATCAAACTCTGGTTGGTCTACCTTGATGCCAAAGTCCTTGTGTCCTACATATGTGAGCTCCTATCTCGGCCTCCTCAGATATTAAATCCCAAAACGGCCAGGTTGGCATTCCTTTTCACTGACATTTTCCCCATGGAACGGATTCAAATCCTCATTCTATGTCATCCCTTCGACTCTACAAATTGCAACTGAGACCAATCTCCCCATGGGTTTCATCATCAATATCCACAAGACTCTCTTAAAGAGGACAGATTTCCCGTTATATCTCGTCTGGGTAGGTTCTGACATTTATCTCCGTGGTCTCATGATTAGGGTTTGGGTTTGAAAGAGGTGGTTGAGTGTATGAAAGAAAAATTTTTGATGGATGGGTAGGGAAAATGCTTGGAAACCCTACGATATGACTAGGGTTAGGCAAACTCCGATATAAAATGATATTGTAGTAACCCGAAAATAAGCAAATACGAGTTATTATTGCATGAATTTAGAAAGAAAAACAACAAGGGTTCATAAAACTGAAAATAAAATGACATGAATACAAACGAGACCTTAGAGCAAGGGCGAAGGTGATGAACTTCTGTTGAACAATTGGTGTGGGGGTGATTTTGAGAGGCTATGACAGCAAGGAAGTGGAGGGGCAGAAAGGATGCGGCAACAAAGTAGGTGCAGGGGGACTTGGAGGCAGTAGAGTAGGTGTAGGGTGACTTGGAGGCAATAGAGTAGGCGCTGAGAGGACTTGGCGATAGCAGAGAAGATGTAGGATAGAGTGGTGACAGCAAGGAAGATGCATGATGACCTTCAGAGTGGTGACAGCAAAGAAGATGCATGATGACCTTGTCGACAGCAAGGAAGTCGCATGAAGGCTTGGTAGAAAGTAGGGAAGATCTAGTGGTTGGGCGGTAGTATAGAGTGGTGACAGCAAGGAAGATGCATGATGACCTTGTCGACAACAAGGAAGTCGCATGAAGGCTTGGCAGAAAGTAGGGAAGATCTAGTGGTTGGGCGGTAGTAGGGAAGAGGTTTATGGTGAGGGATTGACTAGAAAACCACCACATCATGCAGGATACAACTGAAGCACCACTTGTCCGGATACAACCCTATGTTTGACGACTCGACTCTGAAATCAGAAAGATTAAAAACTAAACCCTAACACACAAACAACATATAACATGTCCCAAGAATGAAATAGGAGTGTGTGATGGTGGCGTGGGGTGGGACCCGGGGTAGGGGGCATTCGACCAATCCATCCTTCTTTTGGACTGAAATCCTTCCCGAACTATTTGGGTCGACCAAGTCAAGTATTGTGTCACTTTAGCCTTCCCAAATATTCTACTACGAAACCCCATGGTCAAATCTTCCTAGGGTTGAGTAAACTTGATGTTCTTGGGCTATTTTTCCACCTTCAAAGGCAAGGTATTTATACTTAAAAAGGTCAAGTAAGGTTATAACTGCACCACGGTGACGTAACGGTGTTCAGCGGTTAGGAAAGGGGGTGTATGAACATCTAGATTGAACCCCATTCTCGATTAAGTTATAGGAACACCACATGAGAGAGAAAATAGAACACTCCAAGAGAGGAAAAATTAGAGAAGAAATTCCAATTGCATAAAATTCAACAGCCAAATGTTCCTTACAAGTTTTTAACAATGCATTTATACTAACGAATAAAAACCACCCTAATGCAATCCCAGTTTGTCCGTTGCATCTGCCTGGGATGCAGAAATCCACATCGATTGCATTCACAAAAATAGCATGGGTTCAATAAAAGGGTCACATTGCATACATCAATTCTTACCGAATCGTACAATCTGCTTACAAGCTCATACAGGTTAAAAATCATAAGCCTTGTTGAACTAAAAACACATCAAAAAGAATCCATCTTCTTAAATATAGAGTTCATTTACATGAGAATGTGAATTAAGAGTAAAGTATGCACATGCAAGAAAAAAAAGACAAATACTAAACATTCATCAGGCCTTAATAATTCCCTTAACAGAATAGTCAACATCATTTCTTATTATTCTAAATTTAATCAAATTTTGGGCATAAGTCATGGAAAATGGTTTAGTGTAAGCCATGAATAATTCAAGAGAAAAAAATCATATCATAAGAGCTCGACCTTTGTCCTGCTGCAAATAAAATATGATAAGGCATTGTAACACTGAAAAAAACTTCTTACCATTTAGCCACTCATCTTCTTTTCTAGGAGGTAAGTCATTATGTAAAAGATCAGTAGCTGATGGACGATCAGCTGGACCTGGGGACATAAGACGTTGTAGAATGGCTGATTGTTTTGGAAATTTTGCAATCCAATGGTTAGGAAGAACACCCTTCTGCTTCAGATCTGTAAGAGTAATATGTCTCTCCATTGTCGTTGCAAAGCGGTGCCACAGCTCAAAAAATACCACTCCTAAGCTATACATGTCAACCTGCAAATTACAAAAAACTATTTATAGTAGGAACACCACAAACTATGAAATAGCAAGCCTAAAAGACAACAAAGTATCGTGAAGTGGCAGAACTTCACTTCTTTACAACATAGATTTTTAAAAAAAAAGCTACAGCTTTTTTGGATAAACTTCTTTGGCAATCAAAAGGTTTATGGAAATGTACCTTCTCATTTATTTGTGGCCATCTCTGCTCTATCTCTGGTGCAGTATAGAAATATGTGCCGACTTGACCAGTTCCATCCATTGAAACTCCATTAGTTTCATCAGGAAGATATTGATCATGATCTAGCTGATCTAGATTTAAGAACTTTGCTGAGTTCAAAAAAGCATGATTAATTGATTTCAAGTCAATGGCACTTTACCAAAAACTTAAAAGAAATAAAAGAGGATGGCAGAAATAATAGAAACCTCCTAGAAAGGAATTCTCCTTTCATTACAGATCCAGACTAATGGAAGATTTTAAGTAAGAGAGTTCAATGTAGAACGGTTTATAACAAGAATAAGAAGCCTTTGTCCTACTAAGTGGTGCTGCATGCATCAATCTTTTTTCTCCATTGTGTTCAATTGAGTGTCACATTTTTATTTAATTCTAATACATTAAGATAAACTTTTATACAACATGCTCAAGTTTTTTTAGGTCTCCCTCTACCTAGGGCTTAGAATTTAGCTAGAAGATCATTAATTACTCAAAAATCAATTCATGGATCGAGATCGAATTGAAAAGAACAAGCCGAGCTGCGAGCCAAACCCTTAGATCGGACATTTTTTTCATATGATTTCGAGTAGGGGTCAGATAGGATTGACTAGCTCACGATCTGATCAATTACATATCACGCGGATATGGTCACACCCTTAAATTGCACAATGGAGAAATGGAATCGTGGACTGTGGATGGTTTAGTTACGGGTTAACCCTAAATCCTTTTCATTCCCCCCAGTTCAATTCATCCGCTGTTAATACCTCTCAGCCTCTGTCGTCTGCCTTCTCAAAATCCCTAATCCTAGGTACAGAATCACGCCTCTAGCAGTCCGGCAGGCTCACACATTTGATTGTCATTCGCTCGTTGCTCGATCTACTTCCCTTGGACCTCACCTCATTTTGCTTTAATCAATAACTTTTTTTTCACAATCTCACAATTTTTATCTTAGATTTCTCAGTTGGATCTCTATTTTATTATAGTAAATGTTATATCTTTTATCGGGTTGCTAAAAAGACAAATTCAATTTTTGTTGTTGCTGATTCTCTTCGGATTATTTAGTTTATTTATCAGTTGCACAAATGCATTTGATGTTAAGTGTTGCCCATTATAGATGATGGTTGTGTTTTTTGCATAATCAAGCAAATGAAAGGTCTGTTGAAGCCATTTTTCAATATGTAGGTTTTGCATTATCAAGAACCTAATAGGTCTATCAAAGGAAGCCATTTCTTTAAATAGATTTTGTGTAGTCAAGATGAACATTTCCATTCAGATTGGGTTGAAGAAAAGATAAATCTGACCTCTACAATCAATGCATTTTTGTGGCAGCAACAGTTTTTTCATTAAATTGCATATTGCAGTTACCATATCTAAAAATTGTGAAACTTTACCAGCTTGATTGTTTCTACAATGCTCATTCCAACAAAACTTGGACCTCCGGATTTACCTGTAATATCCAGTGAGATTGTCCATAACTAAAACAAAAAGATATGAGCTTAAAGTAGGTCCCTGATGGAATCAAACTGAAATAGGAAAATACTTGCTCAATCATCCTTATGTTTTAATATAAGTAACAAATTTAGTATACATATCTTTAATGACTTTACTGCAAAAAATATCTACATCTTTCTTTTCTAGAACTTTCTAAAGTATTCTTGGAAGCATATTATAAACATTTTTCTAAAAAAAGCATATGTCAATCCTCCTTACTCTCTCTAAACTTCTCCATCAAGCCTCTCAATAAATGTATAGCTTCCATGGTAAAATTGTCCAACATGAATCCAAATTGATTTTGAGAAATTTTTATAGTACGTATCCTATGCTCAGTTATTATCTCCCATAACTTTATGACATATTAGCTTAATTCCTCCATAATTTGCACACTCTTGTGTATCCCCTTTATTCTTAGAAATAAGAACCAATGGACTATTTATCCACCATAAAATTTTCTTTATAGTATTTAAAATCATATTAAAAAATTCTGCAAGCCAACAAATTTTTAGATATCCTAAACATTTTCATATTTCTATTAAAATACTATTAGGTGTTATTTTTTTTGCACATTTCATTTTCCTTAAAGCCCTAACAACATTTATTTTATTCATTCGACGGAGAAATTAAAAAACTTTGATAATAAATATGATATTAAGATTACTAAATTCGATTGATTTTTTGGCATCATTTTTTGCGTCATATGTTCAGGACGTTCTTTTGAGCTTAATCAATGGTCCACTCTTATGAAGTTCCCCATAGCTTGCTAATGTCCACTTGGGTTCCCTGGGTCACATTGAATACATCAAGCGGGAAACTTGCTTGGGCGTAATTGCGCCCAAGCTTGGTCACACCCGCCACCATGTGCCCGACACCCCTGTGGCCAAGACCCAGCACACCCGCATCTTCCTTTCCCTAGAGCACCTGTGTCGGACCAACTCTACCCCTATGGAGGCAAACAAAGAGTTTGGAGTATCTGTGCTCGATTTTTGGCGCGAGCGCATCCACGTCTGATCCACCTAAAGCGCCTGATACTAACTATATCTGAAACACCCATGCTTGGTAAATTTATACTCTGGTTTGGGTTGGCCTTCCATGGCCTAACCTAGTCTTTTGGGGGCTATTTTGGACTTTGGGAATGGGCAGAAGGAGGGCATTTGCATGCCTGGACATGTGAGACAAATGGGGTTTTCATGGTCATTTGGCTTTTTTGTGCATAGAGGACCAACGCTCCAAAAGGGGAGCAGCCAACTATTTTTTGGATAGGGGATCTCTAGAGGAAAAGAACTGATACCTTTTGCCTTAGAGAGGATCTTTAAGCATAGCCAATTATGCTTGGAAGAGTAGATCTTGAGGTGATTTTAATTGGAGGGAAAAGAGAGAGCTCTAAGGTTTTCATCTCTTCTTTCCAACAGAAATTTCTTCCTGTTTTTCATCCACTTCTGCACTTCAATCTCATTTTCTTGAGAGGAGACTGAATGTGTGAGGATTTCCATGGGGTTCGTGAGCTTTCCTTGAGAAAGAGAGTTTCAACCTTGCACTTGGCATGGGAGGAGCTAGGAGCAAGCCGAGAGAATGCGTCTCCAAACTTTATGAAGGTGAAAAATCTATAAAACCTTTTGCTATTTCATTTCTAGCAAGGCTCTTTAGGACATTGTGTTAGAGAAGATAAGCTTAGGTTTTTTGTTATAAGGAGCCTTAGGATAGGAAGCTTTTCGTACGTTTCCCTTATGATCCTTAAGTGATCTATATGAAATCCCTAGTTCTTTAGCCCATCACAAAGATGAGATTGTACTAATCTCGTCGTTGGTCGTGGCGGCTTCACATGGATGGAAATTTGACTCCACAAAACCAAAAAGTGGAAAAATCCTTGATCTCCACTCTTTAGGTCTTTCGGAAAACTTCTCTTTGTAAGAAGTTTTTCATGCTCAGCCGCGCAAATGGATGTGGGCATCTTGTTGTATCACGTAATAAGGCGCTGGTACACCTCTAAATATCCTGAGCTTAGAACCCTTAAGAATTTAATTTAGGTGAGTTTTTTTTACTCATCGTCGAACAGCTTGGGTTGCATCATTATTTGGAGCATATGCATGTTAGTTTTCTTGGTTGCATTTACATAATTTAAAAATGAGGACAAAAATGAATTTTGCATGGTTTTGGGTCGGTCGGCAGATCGGTCGGCAGACCAACCACATTCGGCATTTGGTAAACTAGTTTCGGTCGATTGGACCGATCGGGTAGCTATCTTGGGTTGGCCGGCTACTTTTGGCCAACCAACCACTTTTGGTCGTTGTTTAGACCGTAGACCCGCCAGATAGTCAACTTAGACCGGTCAGCCACTTCCGGTCGACCGACCACATTCAAACTGTTTGATCGATTGGTCGAACCATTTTTGGCTTACGTTTAGACCGGCCAGATAGTCAACTTAGACCGGTCAGCCACTTCCAGCCGACCGACCACATTCAATCTGTTTGATCGATTGGTCGAACCATTTTTGGCTTACTTGATCAGTCGATCGGTCATCTTGGGCTTCGGTCATTTTTTACTAGCTGACCACTTTTGATAGTTTCAGTCTGTTGGTCGCCCTTAATCGGCTCGACCGTCAAGCGGTGATCTTGCATGAAAAAACTTATGTTTGATGTTGGTTTTTACAAGTCAATGTATTGAAATATATAGGGTTTAATGCCCATATTTTCGATCTGATGAAAATAAGATTTGACAGATGTTTTCGTTCTCATTTGCATGAAAAATCGTTTTGGTTTTACGCCTTTTTGTTAATTTCATTTGCATATGAAATTATGTGTCATAAATCGTGTTTTATAGCATGTGGCATGCTTGGGTGTTTATTTGAGCACTTACACTGATGTTCCTTTGAGCACCTTCACTCATGGTGTCTCCTTAAGCACCTCCACTTATAGCATCCCTACGTATACATCAACGTATGCACATGATTGGATGCTTGCATACCTCGTAAGTGGGTTGGGTAACATATAAGGCCACCCATTGTGTAATTCTCCTTAACGAGTGACCCATTTTTGGTTGCAATGTTTTAATGAGAATTGCTTGCAAGCATATTTCAGCGAGTAACGCGAATTATTGGATCGTGACCAGCACGAGTATGTTTGTGCTAAGGTTCCAAGAGGTTTAACGGGTGCTATTTAGGCTCTTCCTTTCCTAAAACCTATTTTCAAAATATTTAAAGTAATAATTTTATTATTGAGACACAGCATGTTTTGAAGTTTATTTTAAAAACTAATGCATTTTAGAATACATTGTGCGTAAGGTCACTCTTTTAAAAGAAATTTACCTTTGCATTCATTGATGCCCATTACAATTCTTGGATCTTTAAAATGGAGTCGGGATTTTTAAGATGGCGCCACATAATTTGCACACACATATAAATATTTGTGATCAAACAAGTTGTATCTAAATGCTCGTTGAAGAGGACTAGGGTATAGTTAGGTCATTTTCATGTCCTGACTATTGTTTTTTGGTTTAGGCCCTAGCCAGACTGCTTCTTTGATGTTTTACGTGTTTTCCAGGTTTGGCACATTCACAATAATATACTAGATCGGTTTTCTTACAAGGAGTGATTTCAATAGGAAGAAACTGTCAATATTTTATCTAACACGGTTTTTGCAAGTGCTATTTGGCCTCTCTCCCGCCGAGCATGGTTAATCATACCACATGTAGGTAGATTTGTTGCTAACCTTGTTTTGATGTAGATCGAATTTTTTTTTTAGTACACTATTTATTTACTTTTAGAGTCACTTGGGCTGAGTCTATATCAGAAATAAGCTACAGACACGGGTTTCAAGATGTTTGATGCGGAAACCAATTGGCGGATTAGTTCACTATGTATTTACTTTTAGAGTCCCTTGGGCTGAGTCTATATCAGAAATAAGCTATAGACACGAGTTTCAAGATGTTTGATGCGGAAACCAATTGGCGGACATCAGAAGAAGTTGACTCGTGTCCCGTACCTTAATTCTATGTTTTCTTTTCTTACATAAAACTAGGACTATACATGTATTGCGGAGCCTGACAACCTTTTTCTGATTTATGGGATATGTTGTCAATTCGGCAGCACTCAGTCTCTTATGGCTTTTGGCTTGTCTAGGAATCATGTGGAAATATAACTTAGGCTTTTTAATGACCTAAAATATTTCTTCTCAATAAAAATATAATAATAAAAAATTAAGAAACATAAAAATTTAGGATTAAAATAGCAACATTTTTCAAAATCTCTCTTACTTTTCTGCATGGCCTTCGGGCCAGTTTTAATTTGCATGACATGATTATAACCCAAGTCATCCCTAATAGGACCCTCACACTATGACTATTTTAGATAATTGCAATATTCTGCATGTCCCAAGAAAGAGCCCTTATGCTTCTTTAACTCAACCGACCAAACACAAGCTTTATAATTAGGTGATCATTTAGCATGATTAGGAAGTTAGAGACCCCCTGACCCACATGTAATGTAAGTCTTTTATGGGAGTGTGCTCAGCTTTGTAGCTGGACCTTGCTTTCCTTTATTTTCGGAGGCATCCTGGCTACTTTCATGACAAGTGAAAGTCTCATTTCTTCGAATAGAGCTTTAAAGTTTCTTTCATTTGCCCATAGGGCTACCAAAGTTTCCTTCGACAACATAACTCATGGATTGCTGAGAATGGATCTCTAGTCAAGTTGGGTCGACTATCTTCACGATCAAATAGACTTAGGATCATAATAGCTTGAAATGGCGAATTCATGGTATCCTGACTCGGCTATATCTACCTGATTATGATTTCTCTACCTCTCCATCAGTAAACCCTTTTGAGCCTAGTGTCACAGACAAATAGTCCCACATCGGCTAGGTGTAGGGCCAAATAGCAGTGTTTAAGTCTTGGGCTGCCCACCACCCATAAGGGCTCTTTTGGGAGGTGACAAGTGAAATCAGAGCAGATTAATGTCTGTCAAGTGTGTGGACTCTTCATGGTCCAGTGGGACCCTCGGTGGAGCCGATCCGTGACGAGGGCGTGGGCGTCACGTGATTGGGGGGAGGAGAATGTCACAGACAAATAGTCCCACATCGGCTAGATGTAGGGCCGAAAAGCAGTATTTAAGTCATAGGTTGCCCACCACCCATAAGGGCTCTTTTGGGAGGTGACACTAGTCTCTCTTTATGACTTTATTGATGTCTTCCCATCGACCCCTGTTATTGATAAGCCGCCGCCCATTTGGGATACAATGATTCACCCTCTACTTTTATGACCAGGTTAGTTATTGAAGCATAGCAATGTTCTTGTCGAGATAATCGGGTTATTTCATAGGTCCTGTCAGTCACCACGCTGTCGTCCATTTATAGATGCGAGGGATTTACCCTCTTTTGTGACTTCGTATATGTGTTGCAGGCGATGGGAAATTCCTAGTCGAGATGACTGTGCTTCCTTTGATGTACTTATTTTCACTAGTTATCATGAATCTGTAAGCAGAGTTCCTATTGTTGAGAGTTTTATTGGGCATCCCTCAAGATATAATTTACAAAAGGACAAAATGCTTTAGGAGTTGCTCTTGACCTCGGAAAAACATATATAAATTTTAGTTTTCTGGTACTATGAGTTGCTTATGTACAAAAGTTATTCATAGATATGGTTTCAACATGTTACAATCAACTCTTATTTGGATGTACACTCTTAACCTATCGCAGGAAGATGACTTTATATAAGTTTTTCATGTTTCTTTTCAATTTATCGGTCTGATTCTATCTTACCTTCTCTTTCGAGTTCTCTTTTGTACTCGAATCATTTAGATGGTTCAAGTAAGAAGACTATTATGAAAATAAAAATTTAAGACAACAATCAGATAGACTGACGACTCCAATGTTAAAAAGAATAAAAAAAATAGTATTTCCACAATTTTTATTGAAAATTTTATCAAAATATCTCACTTACGCATGTTGAATATCCTTATATAGAAAACTTAGTTTTTAATTTTCATTATTAAAAAATTTAACTTAAAGTAAATCTCTATTTCTCTTATCTATTTGATTGGCGAGTTTATATATTTTATTCTTTTTAATATATAATCTATTATAAAAATAATTAAAAATAAAATTTTTAACATCATAAATTATTCTCTTAAATTCCCAACAAGTAACCCTATATTCTTCTCAATTCCCTAAGCTTATACATCTAAACTAATTATTTTAATATAACTTCGGATTTTTTGTCAGTTGCTACACATTATTATCTTACACCAACTATTTTTATTCATAAGAGTTTTTCATTGTGATTCCCCAAACACGTTTGTCGCAACTTAATAATATTTGTTACTTTATCATATATAATATTAACTTCTTCATGAACATCTCAAATCTTAAAATCAGAAAAAATTACTCAAAAAAGTAGTTATATTTTTTTGCGTGCCCTCATGTAGATTTATGACAATATTTCATTGTATTTTTTATCTTCTTACCCTTTTATCTTAAAATCCAAATCAATATCAATGTTGAGGATTTAAATTTTCACTTAGAATAAGCATACAATCATTAAAATCTAGGTGATCTATTTTGCTCAAAAGAAAATAATCAATTACTATTTTATTAGATTCATTCTTAGCTATTTTATTAGATTCATTTTTATAAGTGATAATATATTCCTCTTTTCTTGAATAAAGCATTAGCAATAACAAATCATAACCAAAAACAAAATCTAATATGACTCAACCTGTGTCATTACTGACTCCAAAAATATAAGCACCGTGAATTCTTCTAAAATCTTCTACCATTCTACTGACATATCCATTTAAAAATCCTCTAATAAAAATTTTAGTCTTCAAGTGTTATCATCTGTATTCAATCTTTACGATGATCATAAATTTTTTTTCTTTTGTAAATATATCCAAACCTACTTAAGAAGCATAAAAACTTATAATATTAAGAATCTTAGCACCAACGATAATTTTTAAAGCTATAATTTGATCTTTAATTCTATTATTTTTTATATTATCTTTCAAATTTTATATATAATTAAACCTACAACATTTTTTTTATGACTCCTGCCTCAATACCAAAGTTTAAAACCAAAGCTATCAATCTCCTTAGCTTTCTATTCACCACATGTAGGGTCTGTTTGGGGCAACAACAACTGTTTGAAGAAGCAATTGTGAAACTACTGAAGAATAAGCAATTATTCAAAAAACTGCAGTGACTATTAGAAACCACATTCTTTTTTTTTAAAAGACAAAACCGCAGCTTTCGGTAGGTAGTCATGTATAGTGAGAAAACATAGTTTTTAGCTGCAGCTTTTTGATAACATATAAAAAAACGGTTTATCAAACAAAAAAAAACTGTGATGTGGCACCACACCGCCGCCCCAAATGCACCTTAGTTTCTTAAATGTATAGAATATTTATCTTCCTAAGAACTATAATATATACTAATTTTATTAATTTACATGTGAGGATACCTATATTATAAATTTCTATGCAAATATTAGTTTCATAAATAAACTTCTTTGCCTGCGTCCTTCAATAATATGAGAGCTCTTCTTTTTAACACTACATCCTAACGTGGATGCAATGGCACTTGCACACTTTTCACTATATTCAGGCAATATAGTTTGTCCATTCCCTTGAACGCCTTAGCTTTTATACAATGAAATAAGGTGTAATTAAATAAAATTAAAATTAATTAAATTACAAAAAATAACTTTTAAAAAATTTTAAAAAGTAGAAAGATTTAATAAAAGTTTTTTTGGGGAAAGTCGACCCAAAGGGCAATATGCTTTATTCAAACCTGCAGCCTCGTAGTGGAAAATTAAACTCTTAACTACTTGCAGAAAAGTTTTGATGCTATAGAAATGAAAGAGTAGGGAAGTGATTATTTCAGAACTAAAATTAGCAGGGAACCTAAGCTTTTACTTTCCTTCTGCTTAACCATTAAACATAAATTACATGAAAGAAATAAAACAATAAACTTACCAAGGCCAAAATCCCCGATTTTAATATCATTGCGAGCATCAAAAAATATGTTACTAGGAGTCAGGTCACGATGAATGATTCCCAGGCTATGTATATGGGCTAAGCCTTCCACAATTTGGCGAAACAGATGCCATGTGTAATCCTTGTCAAAAGAAGTACATGTTTCGAAATCCTGGCGCAAAGTCCTTCACAAAGAACACAAGATAAAAGAATAAAAACAATGTAACGAGACTTGTAAACCAATAAATGCATGAAAATTAAATTAGTAGCAAATAATACCAGTATGCTATTATTAAATTTGTTAGCTCAAAACTAAAATACTGTACTCCAGTGCCATCAAAATTTCGAAAGTACCACCACATATCACCTAGCTCATTCGTGAAGGGTTGCCAATATTGTTAAGAATTAATTAGCTGATCAAGGGCACCATTAAGTAACTCCTGGCTATTTTATAGGAGATAAGTTTTGGATCAAATTTTTAAAAAAATAAAAAAAATAAAAAAGTCATGTTAGACACTACCTAGAGATTGTTTCCTCAATTTTACAAAAACTTATGGTTCCAGCTTTCCAATTGCATAAGACCCTACAAAAAGTTACCTTTCCAATGACGAGCAAACTTAATTAAAATCAAACCACCCTAATATTTAGGAGTAAATGGTGAAGGAATGATGAACCCGATCCAAGTATCATGATTTTGTTATCCAAGATTGTCATTGCAGCAGGATCGGTCCTGACTAATCCAATATATAGCGGTTTGAGATTTCTACCCACTAGAGTAGGCCAGCACCTTTGGGGTTACCATATTTAGGCGTTGAATTAGTATTGATTTGCCTGCTTATTATTAAAATGCTGTGTTGAGACCTATTAAACACTTTTGGATGTGAAATTTTATGCAATGTGATTTTTCTCTGTTATTTCTTTCTTTCTGGGAGTGTTGTCGTCACATATCCATCAAGGGATCTGCTTGCAGCTTGATCAAAAATATATGACAGATCAACCTTGACGTCCGTATACCTCCACTTCTTTCCTAGTAGTTTTCATCCAAACTGCAGCTACTTCCTTTTTTTTCTACCCAAATAAGTTTGTTTCTCAGGATTCTATCACTCAATCCTAAAGCCTTCCAAACAATCACATCAATCCTCATACAACACCTATAAATCCTAAAATGATGTCATTTTGTATCAGTCATACGAACCCTAAATTCTTAGGGATTCATTAATCTCAATTCCAAACCCTAAATCGACATAACATAATCTATCTATCTACACAAATACGAATTCTCCACCTTAAATCTAACCCCTCTCACCTTCAGCTAACACCTAAACAGCCACACCCACCTTAGCCAAAACCCCAAGGGAACAAATTTACCATGCCTCACAGAAAAACACCTAAAGAAACCTTCAAAAACTTACAAGGAGTACATAAAATAAGAAATCCTTCAATTACTGCATAAACTCACTTATTTAAAAAGAAGTTAACAAGATGAGGCCAACCATAGCCATAGTAAAGTTTTATTGGATGCAGAAGATAAAGATGACTCCTTCACAGAAAAACTTCAAGTAAAAAATATGTCAATTCCTCACTGATTCAATATTGAGTATAAGAGAAAAAATTGTTTTCAACGTGAAGATTGATTTAGCAGAATTTGATAGTGGCAAGGATCCTGATGAGTTCATTAAAATAACTCCAGACTGCGGAATGGATTTTCTAGCACAAAAATATTCCACCATACAGAAGGTTAAAGTTAGTTTCTATTAAATTAAAGAGGAGAATTTCTTTGTAGTGGGAGAAGCTGAAGCGACTGCACAAACATGAGAGCAAGAGCAAAATCTCAACTTAGTCCAAATAGAATAAAGAGACGCAGCGCCCTTCAGACACAATACAGGTAGGATGGCTTGTTGAGTCTTCATCATCTACAACAAAAAGACTTATATAAAATGGAATATAACGCTGAGTTTAAACAACTCAATGTAAAAAGCCAGTAAGTGGAGATTACTATGGCATAGTATCTTGGAGGTCTAAGGCCATCTATTGGAAATATGTTGCAGTTATAAACATTCTGGTCCTTGTAAAATGGATAAAACTCAGCCATAAAGGCAGAGAAGCAGCACATTTGCATCAAGACCATTCAACACTTAAAATTTACAAGGGCTGGCCATAGAGTTGAGCAACACAAGTACTTCTAAGAGATCAAAACCTATCCTATAAGGAGAAATCAGTACATGAAAGAGAATTGACAATAATCCTAAATATTCCCAATCAGGAAGCATTTTAAATGTTATGATTTTGGAAACATTGCCTCCAATTGTCTAAACAACTATCATTTTCTCATTGAGCGTGGCGTAGTGAATGAAGAAGATAGTGGAGACTTGGGAGAGTATTTGAACGAGAATGAGTACCTACTCCACACCAACAATGGATTGGAAATCAAATTCAGCGAGTTCTCCAAATCAATTAAACAAGAAGCATTTGTAGCTTTGAAACATCATTTTCCATACTCATAATTGATGTGGGATGTTCATACGGACGGAAGAGGGACATGAGCAAAGGAAGGGACGTCTGGGCAGAAGCAGAATCACAATTGGCACAAAACGGGAGTGGCATTTGAATTCTGCAACTGTAGGACATTGTGATTTCCAGATTTTGTGATTGCAAGAATTAACCCGACTAGTCTTCTGATTCATGAAAGGGAGTGCATCTTGCATTAATAGAAACAAAAAACCATACAAAAAATAGCTATAAAAGCTAAACAAAAGAAGCAGCTTGGGGGGCCTCAACCTCGGACACACCTATGCAAAGCATGTTTAGCACAAAAATGGGTTGTTTTATTACATTCTCTATAAACAAAAACGAAAAGCACTTGTTTAAATTCAGTGAGAAACCCTAAATCAAAATCAATCCTAGTCTGAGATTGCCAAATTTTAGTCTTCATTTTGTCTTGGACAGAGGCAATAACCTGATTTATCCCCTTTAATGAAAATACCATTGGTTTCATACATCCAAGACTTCAAGAGAGCAAGAAACACAACCGCGTTATACTCTACAAGCGAGCCATCCCAATGTATCATGGTGCGGCCAGCCGCAAGTATAACCTTGTTGATTTCATCCTGAATAACAATTCCCAATCCAGCTTGGCCACTAGCGAGAAGAGCACAATCAAAGTTAGCTTTTCTCCTAGCTTCAGCGGCGGAGCCCTTATTTTGACAAAATTGGGTCGCTCTCCAGCTACCTGATATTCTTAATTTTGACACTTTTTTGTAATTTCTTTAGGTCTCTCTTGTTTTTTCTGTATTTTTTCTTTTTGGAACCATTTGATTTGGTGGTTATCATGTGGGCAGGGTGCCATGTTTGGGCCCTCCCACACAATCTATCTGTATCTTACTTTCTATTTAATATAATAGTCTCCGTTGGCTTTCTCATAATATATATATATATATATATGAAATACACATTGTAGGTAAGGGAGACATATATATATGCATTTTGCACTAATAGGGTTTACTCTGATCGCGACATGGCGACTCTAGTAGCCATGCATATTCTATCGGTTGAGAACCTATCCTATCTGTCGCTTGTGCTCAAAGAAGGGTAGAGGTTTGCGTCGAGCAGTTTCGTGACTTGTCACGGAAGACGGGAAGGGGTTGCGTGTTCGTCTTCCTCCTCGACAACTCAGCTCGACAGCAGTGCCATCCTATTCGTCTTTTCTTCAGCACTCAGCTAGGACACGATCGGCTCCTCCTTATTCGGGTTGCGTGTTCGTCTTCCTCCTCGACTCAGCTCAACAGCAGCGTGATCATGTTTGTCGTTTCTTCGACACTCAGCAAGGACACGATCGGCGCCTCTTTCGTCTTCCTTGACTCAGCTCAACAGAAGTGTAATCCTGTTCGTCGTTTCTTCGACACTCAGCTAGGACACGATCGGATTGTTCATCGTTTCTTCGGCACTCAATTAGGACACGATCGGCTCCTCCTTCGTCTTCCTCCTCGCACTCAATTAGGACACGATCGGCTCCTCCTTTGTCTTCCTCCTCAACTCAGCCCGACAACAGTGCCATCCTATTCGTCTTTTCTTCAGCACTCAGCTAGGACACGATCGGCTCCTCCTTAGTCTTCCTCCTCGACTCAGCGTAATCCTTCTGGAGTTCGGCTTCAGCTCCCCATTTATTCTCTGTTTTTTCGCTCTGTTTTTTCGCTGTGATTTCAATGGTCATTGTTCCTCTCTTGAATTAGTAACTAGGCAAAGAATCTTTTATTGAGATGCTTGGAAAGAGTCTAGACTCTGAGAAGGTTGTCGACCATGTGGTATTTCCTCAAATCTATCATGATTCCCTTGAAGGAAAAGCCGATTGTTCGCTTGTTAAAAAGACTAGTAAGAAGGGTGGTAAAGCCGCTCTTATTTTTTCAGACCTCGATGTCTCCACTCTAATTGAAAAAAGAAAATTCAAGCTAATTGAAAATTTTCAGTTTGCATCCCAAAATGGAGGTTATTCACAATGCTTTTGAAGATCTCAAACATGTAAGACAATAGAAGGTGGGTCTCTTTGATGGGAGACTTGTGAAGATACAACTGACTAAAAACAAATTCTATGTTGGGATTTTATCCAGAAAATACCTCACCATTAACGGAAAAACTATAAAGTTGCTCAAGCGGTCTCATGAGTTTGATCCAAACCAAGAACCACCTACAGTACCAAAATGATTTAAGTTATCTGGGCATAAATTACATCTATTCAACCATCAGGATCTTTATTCCATCAGAGCAATGTTTGAGAGACCCATGAAATTAGACATACCCACTTGTAATCTCACCTGGTCTTCTGTTGTCAGGATCTTTGTAAAGAGAGATATCACTATCACCAAGAGTCATCCTTTTTTGACATAATCCGAGTAAAAACTGCACACGAGCTAGTGCCCTAACGAATCAAACATCTAGACATTAATCTTTCAACTTGATTTTAGAGCTCATGCTCGGCTGACCGCTTAAATAGCAAGGTGGATTTGGGAGAACTTGTCATGGAATGAAATATACAATATGTTGGATCTCACTCAATGGTGACAACCATCCAGGAGGTATGCTATCAATCAGGATATCATGAAACTCTTTCAATAGGGATTTCGTTATATTTCATATTGGCTCGTCAGACTAATTATCTTCTAGGACCATCAAAGCTAGTTCTATTGGCGTC